CGCGGCAGCGCCAAGAGCGGGCATTGGAGCTACGTGAGCCCGACGGGCGACGCCTTCAGCTCGGCTGCTGAGGCGATAGAGGGCGCGGCGGCGAGGGTGTGGGCAGGGAGCGGCGGGGGCGAGGGGCTCCGGCGCTCCTTCCGTGCGGGCCAACCAGCTTGTAGTGGCCGCACCCCTTTGGGAAAGCGAGCCAGCCCGCCGGCAGGCCCTTCTCCGCCGCCAGCGCCGCCGCGCCCGAAGTGTCGCTGAGCGCGGCGAGGTCGACTTGCTTGCTGCTGCTGCCACCGGACGCGGCGCCGTTCTTCCGCGCCGCCCCCGCCGCCCCGGCGCTGCACGCCTCCGCCTGCCCCTATGTACGTACAAACAGACGCCTGCTTTGTGTGTCTGCGCCACACTCTATAATCATAATAATCATTATCATTCTCAGTCTCATTCTCTCGTGTGCAATGCCCCGTGTGTTCCGCGAGTGCGTGCGCCCCGTCGTCCGTGCTAGAGACGTGTGTACCACTGACTGGCGGACGTATCATGAGTACCTCCTCCTCCGCGTCTGCGACGTCGAGCAGCAGCGACGGGAAGAGGATCGCGTCGAACCGACCCGGCAGCGGGTGGCGCGACCGCTGCGCCCGCCCGCCCTCCTCCACCATAATCTTGCCATGCAAGTGCGTGATCCGCCTTGCGCCGCCGCCCGCGCCGCCGCCGCCTGCCGCGCCGCCGCCGCCTGCTCCGCCGCCACCGCCGCCGTCGCCGCCGAGGGGCGCCGCCCCGCCATCGCCGCCGCCTCCGACTCCGCCTCCGACTCCGCCTCCGACTCCGCCGCCTTCTCCGCCGCCTTCTCCGCCTCCTTCTCCGCCGCCTTCTCCGCCTCCTTCTCCGCCGCCTTCTCCGCCTCCTTCTCCGCCTCCTTCTCCGCCTCCTTCTCCGCCTCCTTCTCCGCTTCCTTCTCCGCCTCCTTCTCCGCCTTCTCTGCCTTGATCGGGTGCCGGCGCGCTGGCCGCCCGGCTCTGCGCGTCCGCGTCGACGACGGCGGCGACGGCGTCGGCGACGGTGCGCTCTTCGCTGACGACGGTCACCTGCCAGCCCCACGCCGCCGCTTGCACCGCTATGGCGCCGCAGCTGATGTCGTTGACGATCAGCAGCCTGCGGCCGCGCCCTCGCTCGCCGTCGGCTGCGGCGGCGAGGGCGCGCAGGTACGCGGCGGGCAGCGCCGTGTCGGCCGCCATCGCGAGCTGCGGCTGCGGGTCATCGAGCACCTCGTGGTATTCGACCCCATCGACGGTGATCTTGGGCTTGGCGCTCGTCTGCCCGTTCAGCCGCGCGATCTGCAGCTTGGGCGCGCCCGTCGCACGCGGCACTGGCTGCGGCAGCCGCATCGCGAAGAAGCCCCACGCCGCCGCCCGCGCGAATCCGTTTCGGCCGCCGTCGGGGAAAGAGGCGCCGAAGGCCTCGTAGCCGTCGAGCGAGTTTGAGAGGCCGACTGCGCCGTCGCCGCGGCCCCATAGAGTCACGTCCCACTCCAGCAAGCCTGAGGCGTCGTCGGCAGAGGAGCTCGTCATTCGGCCGGCAGTCAGAGGGGCTCCCACTCAAGCAAGCTCAGTCGACCGTCAGCTCCGGCGGTACGCCCTGGCTGCATCTCGGCCGCATCTCGGCGGTCTCTCGGCGGCCTCTCGGCGGCCTCTCGGCGGCCTCTCGGCGGCCTCTCGGCGGCCTCTCGGCGGCCTCTCGGCGGCCTCTCGCCGAGGTAGAGGAAATCCGACGTACGTCCGCCCGGCGGCGCGTGCAGCTGCAGCGGCTCCGGCTTTGAGTGGGCGTGCGAGTGCGAGAAGGGCCAGCGGGTGTAGTCCTCCTCGTAAAAGGTGCGGCGCGGGCCGACACGCTCGCGCGGGTAGAGGTGCAGCCCGAGCCCGAGCCCGCCGTCGTTCGTGGGGAGGAAGCGGCCGGCCGCCGCCTCGAGCGTGGCCTCGAGCACCGCGGAGAGCGTGGGGCCGAGGTCGGCGCGCGGAAACGCGTAGCTCGCGTAGTGTTGCGCCGTCCGCTGCGGCACGGCGTACACGCGGCGCTCGCCGGTGGCCTCGTCGACAAAGACGTCGAGGTGCGCCCGCGCGTACTTGGTGAGGTACTTGAGCATGCTCTCCGACGTGGTGAGCGTGCCGAGGATCTCCGAGACGAGCATGTCGAACCTCCGGCCCGCGAACCACGCCGGCGCCTTGCCGCCTGGGCAGTGCACCACCTGAAAGGAGCCGCCGCCGCGCGACCGCAGCTTGCCGAGGTGCAAGTCTGCGAGGTGGCACATCGTCTCGTTGGTGTCGAGGCCCGTGACCGACGCGCAGCCCGCCTCGAGGCAGATCGCAGAGAGCATCCCGGTCCCCACGCCCACGTCGAGCACCCTCGGCGGCCGCCGCTGCTCCGCCTTGAACTGCCGGATCGCCGCGGTGATCGCGGCGTGGTACTTGAGGTTGCGGTCGCGGTCGTCGAGCATCGGCAGAAAGTACTGCGGGATGCCCTCAGCGGCCGGCGTGTAGTCGCTCGCCATCGTCGGGCCGCCCAGCCAAAACGGGGCAGAGAGAAAGCCCGGGGGCCGGAGCCGGTGAGAGTAGAACGAAATAGCACCTCGACCACCTCGACCTCGACCACCTCGACCACCCACCTCGACCCGCTCTCTGCGCGGCTCCCCTGGGGCTTCCGCGGGTGCCGCGAGCCTCGTGGGGTCTCCCCCTGATGGCACGCCTCCTCCGCCGCCGATTTGGCCACTCGTCCGTTCGTGTAGTGCCTAGGCGCGCTGGACATTGCTCGCTCGCCACTTCCTCCGCGACGCCCGCTCAGTCATTCTTTGTACGGCTATCAGGGCACGACTCGGGATGTAGCTAATGGGAGAGTTGTTCTTTGACTGTAGGGCTGGACTGTTCGCGTGCGAGTGTCGGTGATGTGCAGGGTCCTTGGAAGCAAAGCCAGCGCAGGCGTCTTTGCACGACACGCTGCAAACAAGTTGCCTCTGTCGTCGGGCGGTTGGGGGGGGTGGGGTGGGGTGGGTGGGGTGGGGGGGGGGGGAATTGTGTCGTTAGCACTCCCCACGACTCGGCAAGCGCGACCTGCGACTCTGGAGCGTGACTTCTGGGAAGCAAAGCCAGCGCAGGCGTCTTTGCACGACACGCTGCAAACAAGTTGCCTCTGTCGTCGGGCAGTTGGGGGGATTGTGTCGTTAGCACTCCCCGTCGACTCGGCAAGCGCGACCTGCGTCTCTGGAGCGTGACTTCGTCCCCTTGTGTGCGCATGCGTGTGCCGTGTAGCTCCATGCTTCAGCCGGCGCGCGGGACCAGGTACGATGCATTATGCAACGATACTGCTCTCTCTGCCATCGTTTAACACCCAGACTGCTTCACAGAAGTCACACTTATTCCCCTCCGATGTGAGGCGTGGTCTCAGCTCTCAGCCGGAGGAAGCGCCCCCACGTTCTGGTAGAAATTACGACTGAACTTGTTGCGCACAGTCTGTGCAGGTCAGGCGTCAGCTTGCTGGTGGAGGAGATACAGCTCCTTGGCACAGTCACCGAGGTCAAGACGAGTGTAGCCGGTCGCTTCCTACACATCAATCAGCTGTGAGACGGAGAGGTTTTTAGGTGCGATCATTAAGAAGATGCGATAGCGTGCCGTCAAAAATGCGTGCTCCACGAGGAGCGGTTGCGTGTGTGCAGCGCGAGGTGGATTGCCGCAGCTGCCACCATGGATGGCTCAAATCTCTTGAGGCGCACATTCATCAGAGGAGAGACCATTTGCAGAGGTATAATGCGAGCAAATTTGTGAGCCCGAACACCAATCCTCGCTACCCAACGCGGCCAAAGGATATCCACCTCGAGAACCTCGAGAACCACCAAGATCCAAGTTGTCGGCACGCACCTCGAATGAGGAATGTGGCTGAAGAGCGACATCAGAGCGTCTAACTAATGCTGAAGGTGGCACACCACGCTCCACGGTCTCCTCTGAATGCTCGAAATCATAAGCTATGAATTCAATACGCCGGTTAGGTGCGTCATTGGACATTGCTGCGGTTGCGTCATGAAGTTAGAAATAGTACTGGCTAGTCTATTCCTACTCATCACCACTCGCCAGGAACACCCCCACACTGCTTAGAAGGAAATGGTTTTGTGCAAGATCCGTAATTCCGTATGGCACACCGCACTTTGTGACTGTAGTGTCGGCACCGCGGTGTGGGCCCGGTGTGCGCACTAATACCATTGAAGACGGTATCCAGCTACGTGGTATGTACTCGTACGTATGTTTACAAAGTGATTTCAGTAAACAAACGCCTTCGGCAATTTTTTCTCCGGCACCGCCACCGAGAGAGGCTCACAAGAGACAGCTGGCTGCCTCGCGCCTCATCTCCTTTCTTCGCCGAGTGCCGCCCCGCGAGCGGGAGGCCCCCAGTTCGAAACCTGGTCGACCCTTTATTTTTTGTTCACACCTGAGCGGTCTCAATTTTGCTCTAGGTGCCTCCTACGAATTCGAACCCACGTTTTTCGGCCAGGCGGCCGGTGCGTTGGTCGTTCACGTCATGGGATGCTCGGAAGAGGTTAAGATCTCAGCTGTCGCCGTCCAAGCACAAGACGCGACAAATTCCGGAGATGCATTGGCTGTCGGTTTGGCACGATACACACTCTCTCTCTCAGTGTATGTGGCTCTTACGTACATTCCCGTAGGAGGACTCTGCTGACAGGGTTAGAAAGAAAGAAAGAAAACAGACAACCCAAGGGAGGGATGTGTCGCAGGAGGTGGTGGAGAATGACCTCCAGACTGACCCGGAGAATCACCTCCACCAGCCCCACCTCAACACCCCTATTATCACTCTCTCTCCCCCCACAGTGACGAATAGTCTACCTATATCCCTATATTCCCACACCCTGTGCAGTGGCACGTCACGCAACCTAGATCCCTAATATTGGCACCTCCGTCGGGCGCCGAATAGGCGCCCAAATATTGGCACGTAATAGTCTCCGACTGCTTCTCGTGGGGCCGCCGCGCCGCGAGACAGTCGACCTCTTTAATGTTGTGACACCACAACTCGGTGCAACTGGCGCCATTCTTCCACCGGTGTGACACCACACCTTCGTACTTTGAATACCTTCTACAAACATGTCAGCCTCGGCTTGAGGATGGCTTTACAACCTCACCAGCGGTCAGCAATACCGCAGAGCCGCGCACGCGGCTCATCACTCATACCTGCTGGGCACCAACCTTTGGGTCCAGATGACTATCCCTCTATTGCAGAGGGACGAGGGACGCCTCACGAGCCTACGGAGGGCCTCGACCCGTCTTCTTGCTGGTCAGACCACTTCAATCCCCACGACACCACGTTGGGCAGGCTTGGTGGCAACACCGAGCCCAAGGGCGGCATTGATGCACTGGACAAGTCATCGCCGCCTGGCTCCGTTGGGGAGGGGGCTACGCCAGCTGGAATGCTTTCTGCCGAGCTGCTGGCGAGCTCTCCTCCGACGGAAGCCCTAACAGACCCGAAAGGGATTGGATTGTCCGTGGCAGCGAGCAATTCCATTGCAGTGAACTCGCGGCGGGACGCGAGCAGCACGCAACAACGAGACCTAGACGCCCGAGAGGGCATTCAACCAGCATCCGACGAGGCTTTGGGCGTGCGGGAACCTGCCCAGAACCTCGGTGTATCACCTCCACCATCGCCTCTGCTGGCCGCCGCAGGACAGCCACCAGCACCAGTGCCGCTGCCGCAGTCAGGCGCGCCCGGTGCGCGCAACTACCTCGACATCATTCTATCACCAGCGCCTACGCGACCGAGCTCCCCTGCTCCGCCGTCTGCCTTGCCGCCTGCCAAGCCATCCAGCTTTCAGCTCGCCGCCTCGCGCGACACGCCATCCGAGGCTGTCGTCGCGGCCGAGGCTGCTGCCGCTGGCAAGCCAGACAACTCTACGCACGCCTCCCCCTCGCCGGGGAATGGAGCCTGCAGGGCAGGGAGCAGGGCAGGGAGCGGTTCAGATTTTTTGCCGCCTGTCGAGTTGCCAGCTGGGCCGGCAGCAGGCGCCTCGTTCGTCTCTCCGATTACGGATGATGTCGTGGCCGGGACCGCTACCACCGCTGCCGCTGGCAGGGCAGACACCGCTTCCGACGCCACCCCTCCGTCGCCAGCGCCTTCGACCTCGAGCCCTGATGCTCCGACGCTCGTGCCTTCACCTGTCGAGCCGCCAGTTGGGCCGCCGTCCAGCTTTCAGCCCGCCGTCTCGCGCGACCCGCCCGTTGTGGCTGGCGTCGCGGCCGAGGCAGCAGCCGCTGGCAAGGCAGGCGGCACCTTCAACGCCGACTCTGCTGACAAGGAGGCGAGCAGCGCCTTAACCTTCGAGATCCTCGGCAGGGATGCGCCAGCATGTCTGGTCCGTGACGTCGAGCAGCTTATGAAGGAGAGCTTCGACGAGTGGCCCGCTACGCTATTAGACTACCGCCGTGGCTACCGCGTGCTCGTCGCGTTGAACGAGCAGAGGAAGCTCCTCGCTGCATGCTGGTTTGTTAGGCACAACAACCACCTCTACTGCCCGGCATTTGCGACTCGTCGCGAGTTCCGGGGCCAGGGCATCGGCGAGGCGATGATGACCGAACTCAAGGCGATTGCCGACGGTGGGCGGGTCTTGATCGCCGCAGAACTGGGCAGCGTCGCGCTCTGGCAGCGCTGGGGTTTCTGCAGATGCCGCGATGGGCGCGAGGACGAAGAGGCGTGGGCTCTTGACGCAGCGTACGGCGTCTTCACTCGCGCATCCACACGGCTGATGCGCGGCAAAACACGAGCCGAGGTCGCGTACAGGGACCGATGCTGGGACCAGTACTACAGCGGGTGTGCGAAGTCGCTCGGCGCGCCAGACGCTGCCTCCGCTTCGCCCGGCTCCTGCTCGAGCTCCTCGCCATCGGCTCCGCCGCTCGCCGCTCCGCCCGTCGCGCCGCCGTCCGCCGCGCCGTCTACGTGCCAGCTTGCTGATTCACGCGATCCGCCACCCGAGGCTGGTGTTGCGTCTGTCTCCGCTGCCGCTGCTACGTCGTCCGTCGCGCTCGACGCTTCCTCCGCTTCGCCCGGCTCCCGCTCGAGCTCCTCGCCATCGGCTCCGCCGCTCGCCGCTCCGCCCGTCGCGCCGCCGTCCGCCGCGCCGTCTACGTGCCAGCTTGCTGATTCACGCGATCCGCCACCCGAGGCTGGTGTTGCGTCTGTCTCCGCTGCCGCTGCTACGTCGTTCGTCGCGCTCGACGCTGCCTCCGCTTCGCCCGGCTCCTGCTCGAGCTCCTCGCCACCGGCTCCGCCGCTCGCCTCTCCGTCCGTCGCGCCGCCGTCCGCCGCGCCGTCTACGTGCCAGCCTGCTGCTTCACGCGATCCGCCACCCGAGGCTGGTGTTGCGTCTGTCTCCGCTGCCGCTGCTACGTCGTTCGTCGCGCTCGACGCTGCCTCCGCTTCGCCCGGCTCCTGCTCGAGCTCCTCGCCATCGGCTCCGCCGCTCGCCTCTCCGTCCGTCGCGCCGCCGTCCGCCGCGCCGTCTACGTGCCAGCCTGCTGATTCACGCGATCCGCCATTCGAGGCTGGTGTTGCGTCTGTCTCCGCTGCCGCTGCCACGTCGCTCGTCGCGCTCGACGCCGCCTCCGCTCCGCTCGGCTCCTACTCGAGCCTTCCGCCGTCTACTCGCCGCCGATCGAATCGTGCCAGGAAACCTCGACCGTACCGGTACGAACGACGCAAAAACCTCACGCCCTCGCCGCCGATAGCGGATAACGCCGCAGCCAGAGCCGCAGCCGCAGACTGCTCACCTGACGCGCTCGACGGTGTCTCCACTGCCGACTCGCCGGATACCGGCTTCACGAGCGCACGACCCCCTCATCTCTCGGCCGTGTCGCTCGAGACGGTGCCCGGTTCGAATCTCATCTCTACTCTCGCTTCGCCGCCGATAGCGGATGGCGCCACGACCGAAGCCGCTGCCGCTGCTACCTCGCCACCTCGCCGCCGCGACGCGTTCCTTCATCGACTCGCGCACGTCTTCTGCCCCCACACGCTTCTTCCCGAGCGGCTGTAACGTGATTACCGCCCTCAACCCACTACCAGAGCTCTGGCTTGGTGGAACATTTGAACTACCAAGCCGGCGCCGCCCTGGGCAAGGCGCTAAATTGCACCCGTCGTGGTGGGCTAGTCATCATCACGCCGTACCGGGACTCTTCACGATGATCGGTCGCCATCGTGTCGCACGCAGACTGATCAACGTCTATTGGGGCACGACGCTAAATTGCATCCCACCTACCATCAGACGCTGAAGAGCCTTTGCGGAATGTAATTGCTGCATCGACCAAGTACATGTTCACGACGGACTTGTCAACCCCGTGTAATAAGCTGACTTCACCTCGACTGACGGGACTGACGGGTCGAGATCTCCTCACGCGCCGACTATTGAAGTTGGCATCAACTGCTGAAGAGCCTTTGCGGAATGTAATTGCTGCATCGACCAAGTACATGTTCACGACGGATTTGTCAACCCCTGCTCGCCGCTTTCTGCGCACGCGATGTTGCGACGTGCGACTTCAAAGCGCTTCAGAATCACTGGGACAGCACCGGCAGTGCCGAGGGTCGCACACTCGAGTGTGCTCCTGGAGACGGGCCGTCTCCGGAAGCGCTGGCCTTGCAGCGGGCTGTGCGCGCTGGCCGTGGGGTCGTGCGTATAGGGGAGGGTGATTTCTACTTCGGCAACAGCAGCCTGCTGATAACGGGTGTCCATCAATTGAGCCTTCTCGGTTCGGGCCCTCTTCGCTCGCGCCTGTGGTTTGAGCCGGGGCATGGCGTGCAGCTGGTCTCTTCGCACAACATCTCGGTCGGCGGCTTCTCGGTCGACTGCCCGCAGGCGCCGTTTGCACAGGGGCGGGTCGTTGGTGCCTCGGCCAGAGAGCTGTGGATTGACTTTGAGCTGGAGGAGGGCTTTGCCCGGCCGACCGAGTCGGGCCTCTTCTCTGCGAGTGACGAGATCAAAGCCATCTTCTGGCACAGCAAGACGCGAAAGATGCGTCGGACACAGACAATGTTTGCCCCCGCAACGCGCTTTGCGCGCACTCGCGGCAGCACCGGCTACCGTGCGTGGTTGCCTCATCACATGCCCTTCGTGCCCTCGGATGGAGATCTGATCACACTGTCGCCGCGATTGTGGTCGAAGCCAACAGCGTACCCGAGCTTCTACAAGGGATCCTTTCTGCTCCTCAACTCGAGCAAGATCACCACCGAGAACGTTCACATCCATTGCAGCGCCACCATGACCATACTCGAGATGGGTGGAGACGGCGGACATGTGTACCGGCGCGTATCTGTCCGCCGCAAGACGCGCCCGCCCTATCCTCACCGTCTTCTAGCGAGCAACAGCGACGGGCTGCACTCCTTCTCCGTGCGCAGCGGGCCGAAGCTCGTCGACTCTTTCTTCGAGTTCCTTGCCGATGACTTTGTAAACATGCACAACCGCGTCTGGCCGTTGGTCACCGTGCGGGGAGGCGGTGCGCAGCTCCTGGCCCTTGATCCTAGTTCAGGACTTGGTGCTGGCTTGGACGTGGTGCACACGCCTGAAAGCGTGTGGCCGGGCTCAAAGATCACTGTTTATGACTTCAAGACGCGCAAGCAGCTCGGAGAAGCGTCGGTGGTGTCAGCCGTCGAGCTGAACCCCTCGGCAGTGCCCCCAGCACATGTGATGGTCGCTGGCATTCAACGCCGCCTCGGCAGACCCGTGAAAGGGTTTGAGGAGGGCACGGGGCGACTCTTCAAGCTATGGGTGTCACCGAGGCTGAAGGTGCTGGAATATGCCAGGTTTTCTGCATTCGTTCAGTTTGACGATCTCAACGGCAGTGGCGCTGTCATTGCCAACAACCATTTCACCGATTCGTATTGCAACTTGGCGCGCATCGCCACGAGCAACGCGCTCATCGAGCGGAACGTGTTCAGCCGCGGACAGGACGGGGTGCACATACGCTTCTTGCCGGATTTTCTGGAGGGGAGCGCCGGGCTCGTCAATATTACCCTCCGCGAGAACGTCTTCACGTCGATCCGTGGCTGCGGTGACGGCGCGTGCGACACGTTTTGTGAGGACATGGCATGCATTTTGCAGAACGTCGACGAAGAAATCCGAGCAGAGGTCATTGACGTCGGCAATCGAGTGCATAGGGCTCAGGGGCAGCACTTAGTCAGCTAGTCGGTGTAGTATCTGAGCACCCGCTCCTTACACCTTAGCTTTTTGGCGCGCGTCTAAACTCGTATGAACGCGTACTAGTATCGACGTACGACGATCCGATCGACGACGACGTACTGTAAGGCACCCTCTCTCGCCCTCCCGCGCAGCGCATGGCGCAGAGTATTCGACCGCCGGGGCCCACCCAAATTTCTTTTTGAAATTTCGACCAGATCCGCCCAAATTTCACTGATGCAGCAATCCGGCAAAGCAATCATCAACATCACCAGCGATCAGGCGAGAGGCGACGTGTCACACACACGATCACACGGTGTAACACACTGGCTAGTTCCATTTCACTCTGACACGCTAATCTTGAAAACGTCCAACGGAGCTCTGTGTTGCTCCCAGCGCCATCCCCCGCGCTTCCTGCGGCCCTAGCCGATGGTACTAGCATAGGAGGGTCATCTGGCTACCGCGAGAGCGACCCAACTCGTCGACATCGTCCGATGATGGTGCCTCAAAGTCAGCCTTCGGAGGCTATCGTGGGGTCGAGCCGGCAGTAGCCGTGACATGTGGTTCCACCACCCCTCGTAGGCTTTGCCTCTGACCGCCACCGTTCCCAGGCTGCCTAATGGGATGGAAAGGAAGGCTGGGCGAGCGTATAGAAGCGTGCTCGACCTCGTCGTGGCAGCCTGCACGGCAGCGCTGGCAGGCGCGATGAGCGTCGTGCCACCTGACCCGAGACGGGTCGCAGGCGTCGTACCGAGCGCGTCGAGACCGTGTCCTGATGTGATCTGCACGGGTGAGTCACGTCGGCATCAAAGGAGCGACGTGCGACCTGTCAGAGCTTGATCTCCGATCTCAGCGGCGTCGAGTCGCCTTCGGCGGCGACACTTTTGTCCCTCCCCAGGACGCACAGACGCAGCTGCGACCCCGCCGAGTGGACGGGCGCACACCGCGCCACCTGCTGTGTGCGCCCGTCTACTCGGCGGGGTCGCAGCTTCCTCTGGAAGGCACCGAGAGGGACAAAATGGCGCAAATGGTCAAAATCAAGGTTTTGTAACGCGAGCTGTGCCACAGTGAAATGGAACTAGCCACTGCGCCGTGCGGCGCGTTGACCCCTGGGTTGCTGAACTTGAGCACGAGCGGCATGTAGGTGCACTCCTTGAGCTGCGATGCGCTGAGCACCCAATACTGTAATGGCCTTGGTCAATACGACTATTTAGGTGGGGACCTAGATTTTGCTCCACTCCGGAAAGTCGTATTTTGCTGCGGTAATAAAAGAATCCATTGGAACAGAGCGGACTGCGGGTAGCCGTGACGGCTATTCTAACAGTACGATCCAGTAAAAACTGTAGTAGTGAGTAGTACAGTAATGTCGCTAAGTAGCTAGCTAAGTAAATGTACCTGTCCTGCCAATGAGACGCTGCCCAGTGCTCGTGTTTAGGACGGACTGGTACACGACACACCAACACACGACCGGTCCAAATAACACATGGAGTCCGACGTCGACCTGGGCGGGGTGGGGACGCTCAGCCACTGGAGCCGGGGTGGCATTCTCCCACTTCACAGCCTTGTTATTGAGAAGAAAATACCTCTTATGGCGCTGTGCGCTGCGAGCCGTCTTTTTACCAGGTTGCAACACCTGTTCCGCACTGTGCTGTGAATCGAGCGGCAACCAACAGCTCTCAGGACCCCCCGGAGCTGGGGTGCTGCCAGCAACCAACCAACTCACCGGCGAGCGGAGCGAGCCGAAGAGCTGGTGCCGAATTGGCGCTGTGAACGTCGTTTGAACCGATGTTTCGGCGGGCACGTCGCACCTACGTGGCCGGCCGCCAGGGCCGGCAGCAGGGCGCCCCCGCGCGGATGCCGACGAGGATCACGGTGCGCTATCTGGGCTCGGAGGTCGGCAAAAAGGTCGCGCGACCCGACACCAAGGGGGAGTTGCTCGAGCTGGCCGCCAAGAGGCTCAACTTATCTACGCCGGCCTTGCGCATCTTTGCGGAGGGCGGTGACGAGTACGATGGAGACGAAGATGTTGTCTTGATCGAGAGTGACGAGAGATCATCTACGTCTCGTGCGGCGAAGACTTCGGCTCGACGGCTCCGACCGGGGCGCCGTCCGCCCCGCCTGCTGCTGCTGCTCCAGCTCCAACTCCTCCTACTGCGCCTCAGCCCGCCGTCCTGCCCTCCCTCACTGGTGTGTTCATGGGGGGGGGTCATAAACAAACACGGTACAGGATCGAGGTGTACGCTGCTGAAGCGTGCACCTACATAGTGCGGGACCTGGGGCAGCAACCAACAACCTGGATGGGGACGGGGTGCTGCTCAACCGGCGGCAACCAGCAGCGTTCACGCTGGGCCTGTGAGAGGGTGAGGTGCGAGCCCTGGACCTGACGGGCAAGAACAGACGGAGCGTCGCTCTCGCCCTCGTTGGCGAGGAGATCGCGCTTCGACAAGATCTCGGCGCAGTGCTCTGCCTCAGCGTTCCGTGGGCCACCAGCGGGCCACGGCACGCAGCGGCTCAAGGTCTCGACGGCTGCACGATCGAGAGCTTGGCGACGCGCTATCGGCGCCGAGAGAATGCGCGACATCTCCTCGTTCGACGGCTCTCGTCGACGTGCGCTGGCGTCGACGAGGCGACGCTGACGCTGCCGCGGGCTTGGCTGGGGGCAACGCTGCCAAGCTCAGCGGCAACGCCGGCGGAGGGAGTTCTCGAGCAAGTATAGACAAACTTGCCTCCATGACTCCCGCTGCCGACGATTTGCCTCGACTGGTGTGGAAGCCACAGAGCGTGATATCCCCCTTCCCCCGACGATGTGAAGCGTTTTCAGGCCATCATGGGTTCACTGCTTTATTGCGCAACTCACGCCCGGCCTGGCGTAGCTTATGCAGTAGGTCTGCTGTTTCGTGCCATATGTCTCGCCCGACCCCAGAGCTGTTTGCCGCTGCCCAGCGTGTGCTGTATTATCTTCATAGGCACCGCACTCTAGGCCTGCGCTATGAGCGCTCTAATCAGGAGCGGCTGCGCTGTCTTATAGCGCAGAGTGGAATTTAACCGGTGTAGGAGGCCGCAAACCCGCCATAAAAACGGTATGGCGGTGGAGTGCTCTCTAGCTGCTGCGCAGTGCCGATGCGGCAGCTGCAGTGCGCAAGCGAGAACAACTTTTGGGGGATGCTCTTCTGGCCGCACACAAGCCGGAGTATAGAGACGTGCCTTTTCGGAACTTGGAGCACTTGGAGTGCAGTCATCAGCCTCACATCCAGGGCCGGGGAGCTAAGAAGCGCCGGAACACTTTTCGAACACGGAACACTCCTCGACTCCGGAGTCGTCGCTGAATAGGTCTCTCAACTGCGAACTGGCGGGCGGTGGATTCCGCATTCCCGCTCGCCCTCGCCCCAGCGGCGATCGCGTCCTTCCCGGGGGTGGCGGATCCAAAGGTGGCGGTGTCGCTGAGTCGTTCGAGGCGATCGTGGCGGCGGTGGCGGCGTGGGCGGCGGATTAGACAGCGTTTTGCGTGGTGTGTGCCGCCGCCAGCGCGGGGCGATGAAGTTTCGACTGGAGAGCCACATGCCTGTTACGTGGCTAGCCCAGTACGAAACCAGGTAAGGCAAAAATCTTGTTTACAGGAGAGCAAGAGCTGGTACTCAAAGAAGAAGGAAAGAAAACAGACAACCCAAGGGAGGGATGGGAGAACGGCACGCCGCCACCACACAGGGATTTTAAGGAGAGGGGTGTGGTGCGCTAGACGTCGCCCACCCTTGGGCGTCCGCCTCTTCCTATCTCACTTCGCAGTCTCTCTCCGATTCTCGCTGCAACCTTCGTGCCACCTCGCGGTCTCCCCCTTCTCGTCGTGCTCTCCCTTGTCGCCTCTTCCTCTGTCGCGTCGCTCTCCTCTGCCTCGTTCTGCGCCGCCGCCGCCGCCTGCCGTTCCCTTGTCCTCTCGGCTTCTTTTGCCTTTCGGCGCAACTCCGTCCTCCTCGCGGCGTATCCTGGCCCCTCGAGTCTATCGAGCTCCCCTCGCGCAAGGACGAGTCTTCTGACGCCCACTGCTATCCCGCATGACTCCCATGACGAAAACGAAACACGCACCAGGCGACTGCCTGAGAACGCTGGATCGAATCGAGGAGGCACCTAGAGCAAAATTGGGCCCGCTTCGACGTGTCGCGCGATGAACCGTGCCAAAAAGTAGTATTTGCGGCTATTGCTCCAAACTTCGGGAGACAAGGCCTACATATTATGACTGCATCCATACGCCTGGTGCATGAGGGCTGCGGGTCAGGACATTTCACGGTCGGTGGCGCCGGTGATGGCCTCCGGAAAGCCCTCGCAATCGCCTCAGATGGGGTCCACCGGAGACAATCTCGAGCCCTCTCCCAGCCCTCTCCGTGGCATCACGAGCCGGTGTGAGCTTGAAGACCCAAGATAAGTGCGGTTCGGGACAGATAAGTTCGTTTCCATTAGGCGGCCTACCTTCGCCTTTAATTTCCCCGGAGAGCGTACCAAATACTTTATTTAGGCAAACCAAAAGGTGGCGGGTCCATCGCCGCATCTGTGTGTGTCTCGCGCCTTGCGTGCCGGCCCCGCCATGGCCACGCCCGCGATCGGCGCCGTGCCCACCATCATCGCCGGCATCCTCATCTTCCTCGCCACATACTCCGGCGCCGTGACAAAGGGAATGGCTTTCGCCCGCGAGAACCCGCTTCCAGCTGCTGCTGTGTGGCTAACGTGCCTCGTTCTGTCCTACCGGCTCTCCGGGATCGGAAGCGGACCGGCACAGTGGCCGAGCAAACAGCAGTACGACCACAGCCCGCGCAAGCGGAACGCGCGGAAGGTCGACTAGGCGGCCGCGGCGAGTTCCGCCTCTGCAACCCCTCGTCTCGGCGCAGGAGCGGCCTCTCTGTGCACGGCCCGCGACAGAGCATCGTCTGTGTCGGCCGGCATCCCGCAGCGCGCAGAGACGAGCACACAACACCGGCACTGCGCGAGCTGCGGTCTGAGATGTGGCCAGGAGGTGTAAGTGAGCGTTTGAGAGCCACATGTACATGTACATGTGCATGTCATGGAAAGTAAGATGCGCGACGGATCTCGATGTCATCTATTTGCACACTACATCTCTCGACCTGTGGTGACCGTGAGACCTGTGTGTCTGATGTGACTGCGGTCTCGTGTCGCGGTAATAGTTAATAGATGTAAGATGTGCGGGGGGGAGTGGCGTGCGCGGAGCTCAGGCCTCAGCCACACACGTAACCAGAAACCACGTCGTTCTCCGTTCTGCTTCGCAAGGCGCGCCCTATACGCCGGCGGCGCTTGTTTGCTTTGCGCCAAGCGGCACACGCGAGACGCACCTCTTGAATAAGGTGTCGCTGCTCGGGTGAGCAGGAGGGCTTGGTCGAGCGGCGCACTTTAAGCGGCACGCTAGCCGGTCACTAGGGGGGGCATAGGCGCGCAGCCGGGTGGGCAGTGGTGGGGGTGCGGCTGCGAGGCGAAGAGCATTGCGCGCCTGCCGCCAGTGGCACCCTCGGCCCCAAACCAAGCCGTGCCCAGGCCGCCCGATTGTTCTTGTTGCGCCTCGCAGCCGTCCGGGCACGACTGGAGGATTGCGCAAGCGATGCGGGCGCCGGTGACGTCGTGAACGATGAAGGCTGGAGGGGCGTGGCACTCGGTCAGAACGGGGAGGGCAGAGCTGCGGCGGCGCTCGCTACGGGGTCGGACCGTGGCCGGCGATTTGCGACTGGTAGAGGCCCGTGATGACGCCGGGCGAGACGCCCGTCGCGGTGTAGCGACCAAACAAGCCGCTCTCCGCGCGGTAGCTGACCGACGCCCATGGATCGTCCGGGAACTGTGAGTACCGGGGGGTGGGTGGGGGGGGGGGGGGGGGGAAGGGTCAGCCTAGGGCACGCAGTGAGCGGCTCGGGGCTGCAAGAGCAGCGACGGACCGAGCCCCGCGCCCAGTAGTGGCCGAGCGCGTTGGAGGCGCAGTCGGTACCCTCATGGATGTGGATGCCGCACGAGTTTGCGACTCCCGCTGTTGGCCCTGAAGCACAATTCGGGTCGACGCCCCGCAGCGAGTAGGCAAAGGACTGGGTGGGCGTGAGGAACGCGCTCGCTCCCCCAAAGATTGCGGACGGCGCGCGGAAGACAGCCGGCAAAGTCGCCATCGGCGTGACGACGCCCGAGACGCGCAAGTCGCCCGCGTAGTCAAAGTACGGGACGAAGCCGCCCGCGCTGAGCGGGAGGCTCGCCCCCGGGTCGGCGAGCACCGAGCAGGCGATGCGCGCGCCGTTGAAGGCGTGGACGATGAAGGCTGTGCGCATAGGGAGGGGGGGGGGAAGCTGATGGCGGCTAATCACCTCAAACTATCAGCAACGACGTGGTCAATATGTCTACCTTGAATAGCGCTAGACCTTAGAAAAAATTTTCAGAGAGTCGACGGGCGCTTGTGATCTTTCCGCCTGCGTCGGCCCCACTTGGTGTGCTGGAACTTGGAACTTGGTGCCACTTGGTGCCAATTGAGCCGGCGAGAGGCCCTGACCTGCTTGCCTCATGCGCACCATGCGTGTGCTCGGAGCTTTCATGTCGCCGCTCTTTTGACACGAAGAAAGTGGGCTGATCCGCCGACGGCCGAGCGTGTGGGATAGCCAGCTGGCTGGCATTGGAGCTCTTCTCGTGACGAACTTGAGCTTATTCCAGCCATAGTCATCGTCTACGATCCACATGCAGACTGCCGGTGACAGCATGCACCTTGAGAGGTTCAACCCGAGGTGTGTTGCTCAATGCTCTGCGCGTTTGCTTGTGATCGTGGATTTCAAGGTCCCAATCCTCGCGGCTGAGGATTGACACCGTTCGCTCGCGTGAGATTTTTGAGCGGCAGATGAACCAGCGCTGGAGCCCATCACGGCACATGCTGGAGGAAGGAGGGCATCGTCCATCGAGCAAAGCCCTGGTAAATACAAAATAGGGGAGCCAGGCCACTTCTTCGTTCTTGAGACTGGGAACTGAAGGGTGGCCACCACCATCCTCCCCGTCGAGGTGCACGCCGCGGGCCATTTTTCTTCTCTCTGGCGTCAACCAATGCGGCGGTCAACCAGTCTGCTGATGGCGGCGTCACGCCGCTGCTCGTTGCGTGCCAGAACGGCCACGTCGAGTGTGCCCGGCTGCTCCTCGAGGCCAGCGCAGCGGTCAACCAAGGCGGTCAGCCAAGCTGCGGACGGCGGCTTCACGCCGCTGCTCGTCGCATGCCAGCAGGGCCACGTCGACATCGCCAAGCTGCTGCGCGACGCCGGCGCTTCGCTCAACCAGGCCACGGAGGACGGCGCCACGCCGCTGTACATCGCGTCCCAGCAAGGCCACCTCGAGGCTGCTCCTTGAGGCTGGCGCGGCGATGGACCAAGCCAAGCAGAATGGCGGCACGCCGCTGCTCATCGCGTGCGCTCTGGGTCACATCGAGTGCGCCCAGCTGCTGTGCGACGCCGGCGCTTCGCTCAACCAGGCCACGGATGACGGATACACGCCGCTGTGCCTCGCGTGCGAGAAAGGCCACCTCGACATTGTCTGGATGCTTCTCGAGGCCAACGCGGCGGTCGGCCAAGCCAAGGAGAATGGCACCACGCCGCTGTACGCTGCGTGCCATGACGGCCACGTCGAGTGCGCCCGGCTGCTCCTCGAGGCCAGCGCGGCGGTCAACCAAGCCCAAACCCAAGGCGCGACGCCGCTGCTCGTTGCATGCCACCAGGGCTACCTCGAGGTCGCCAAGCTCCTCTCCTCCTACGGCGCCTCGCGTGCCGCAGTGCCGCCCTTCGGCACGCCCGAGGAGGTCGCGAACCGCGACGGCCACGCCGACCTCGCCGCCTGGCTGGTCGCCAGCCGCGACTGGACGCCGCTCGCGCACCTTGAGAGCCTCACCGCCGCCCGCGCCCTCTCGCTGCTGCGCAGCGGCGCAAGCTTGCACGAGGGCGAGCCGACGCCGCTGCAGCGCGCCGCGGGCGGCGAGGGCGAGGCGGCGGCGCTGATCCGGCGGGCGGCGGCGCCGTGGTCGCCGGCAAGCCACTCGCTCTTCCCCGCGGCGGCCCGCGCGCGGGCGGCGCTCCTCGTCCGCTCGATCTACGAGATCCACGAGCGGTACCACCTCGACTCGGCCGGGGCCACGAACGGTATCGCGGCGCTCGACTTTGGCCACTGCGTCCTGGGCTTCGCGATCACGCGCGAGACGGAGTAGGGGAGCAATGCAGTGGCCTTTCACCTTGGATATACTTGGAACCGCCGCGGCGGTGCCTCAGTCTCCTGTTGTTTAGTACTCTCGCAGCTGGATCGGACTGCTTTGCCTTCCGTTTTATCTCGCAACGTACGTACATACTACATTCTGTCGCGATGGTTGTTTGTGGCCACTAGGTCTCTGCACGCAAAGCGCAATGTCAGTGGTACACCCTCCTCTCACGTTGGAACCGCCGCGACAGTGCCTCCGCATGTCGTCGCGGGCCGCCCCTGCTGAGTCGGCTGTGTGACCTGTGTCGCGGGCGGGTGCGTCGCCTCGAGCCGCTCGTGTGCCTCGACGCGCTCGAGGGGCCTCGCCTAACCTCTCCGCCACCCACTTGGTCGATCTACGAGAGCGTAAAAAAGCATGCGCACACGGCGCACGAACATGCACAAGACATGCGCAACATGCTCTCTCACCACACGTTGCAATCTGTGGTCCCAGCTGTGACCGTCTAACGGCGGGCACGTCGCCCCATGGCGCGCGTAGCTATGACAGGGACCGCGGCCGCGGATCCGGCGGCGGACGGGGCTGGCGCGCAAGCGCCGGCCACCGTCGGGCCGCCGGGGAAGCGCCGCGGACGGCCCTGGAATAGCAGCGCCTCGCGCGCACATGCAAGACTGCCTCATTGCCGCAAGGCTTGCAGGTGTGTCGCAGCTCAGGTATGAGGTCCCTGGCTACGGGACGGCGACCTTCGACCTGAAGCACGAGAAGGCCGCGGGCGACCGCGAGCCGGTGCAGGCGGCGGAGCGCTCGTTCGTCGAGCGCACCGCGCCGCGGAAGGAGGAGCTGACGGAGGAGCAGAAGGATGCTCGGGCCGCGGCTCGCAGGGCCAAAAAGGCCCGGCAGAAGGCGAACAAGGCGGAGAAGGCTGCGGCGGCGGCTGCGAGCGAGGCTGAGCGTGCGGACTACCCGCACGCGCAGCTGCGCGAGAACGTCGAGTTCGTCATGGACGGCCTGGAGGCTGCGACGCAGGCGGCGCGCAACCCAGCGCGAGCGGGGTCCAATATTCAGGTCGCCTACTCGCTGCCTCCCGAGGGGGGCAGCGGGTTCGGCGACCTGGTGTACGCCACGGTCCCTCTGGGCTCCGTGGCGACCAAGGTCGCCCGGGACTGGCTCGCCAACGAGCTCTACGAGCCGTCCCGGGGCGGCAAAATTGATGCGGCCTGCAGGGACCGAAAGGTCGCCGACCTGATCACGGCTGCCGGCGCCTCGGCGCCGGCCGACGCCGTGTTCGGCGGCAGGTTCGCGACGGGCGAGACGCCCCGCTCGACGACCTCCGCCTCCGAGGCGGACGAGGGCGACGGCGCCGGCGGCGATGGCGGGACCGGCTTCGACCTGTTCGGGCCGGACCCCACCCCCATGGAGGACCTTTGAGGCCCTCCCCAGTCTCACCCCACCTTACCTCTGCCCCCCCCTCCCCCCATCCCTCTGCCTCCCATAGGGCAGGATAGCACTAGCATATGCGCCGAGTGCGCACACTGGGCCCACATAGATGTGACCCGCCCCTCGAGTGCGGCGTCCGGATGCTAGTGCTTGTATGAGAAGACACCACAAACGCGGCACGGCCCGTTTTGGCTGTCTGCGGAGATTCTGTCTTAGCACACACAGTGAGTCATTCGGAGTCATTCGATGGCCAGAGTGCGATTGTGTGTGTGCGGGAGTTGGTTTGTCGGGAGGGAGGGGCAGGCTGCTCACCCACGTCCCACGTGCACCGGGCCAGTGCTTGCACTTTGAATGCCGTGCCCGTGCGCGTGGGGCTCCTGCCCGTGTCCGGGCGTGGAGAAGCGAGGGTCGCCCCCCCTTGCCCCACCACTTTGTGTGTGTGGAGAAATCTACCTTACCTTACCTTACCTGGTCCCAGCAACTGCAGCGCGACGAGTACATGCGACACGACGGAATCACAACCGGCATGCTCAGGCGGCCAAAACACACGTATGGAATGGGCCGCACGAGGGCCGCACTAGAGGGGTGGTCAACAGGCCCTCCCCCTCACACCTCCTCCGAGACCGAACAATCTGGGCTCGCTCGGTCTGCCGCCGCCGCCTCGCCCGCCGCCCCGCCCACCGCCCCGCCCTCTGCGCCGCCGCCGCCGTCGCGCAGCAGATCGAGCACTCCGGCAAAGCCGTGCCGGGCGGCAAGGAACTGGACGGTGCCGCGCCGCAGCTGCTTGATGGCGTCCACGTCGGCGCCCGGCGTGCCCGACAGCTGCGTGAGCCGCTCAAGTAGCAGCGCCACCAGCGGCTCCACCCCGGACTCGGTCGCGAGGTGGAGAGGGGTCATCTGGTAGTTGTCTTCTACCGTCAGCTCCCAGCACGGCGTCTGATCCGACAGCAGCCGCGCCGCCTCGACCTGCTCGGAGGCGCACGCCGCGTGCAGCGCCGTCTGCCCCTCCTCGTCCGCCCGCCACAGGGGCGCGCCCGCGCCGAGCAGCAGGCTAATGAGGGAGAGGTTGCCGTCGGAGGCCGCCTCGTGCAGCAGCGTGCGGCACTCCCGCCACTGCTTGACGGCGGCGGGGTGCTCGTGCACCAGCGCGCGCGCCGCCTCGACGTCCTCCGCCTCGACGGCCGCCTTCAGCGCCGCCGCAGCGCTCGCGAGTCCATCTATCAGCTCATAATCGGAGGACTCGGTCTCGCTCCCGGCGGATGGCCGGTCGAGGATGATTGCCCTGCGGCGGCGGCGCGGCGAGCTGCTCGAGCACTCGGAGAGGTTGGAAGACTCGCTGTGGTTGGAAGTCTCGGAGAGCGACAGCGTTCTCTCCACCGCCTTTGGCAGCGGGGCTGCTGGGGGATGCTCCGGCGACTTTTTGAGGATCCCGCGAGGGCTCTTTGGAGACTTGGAGCGCGGGCTCTGCGGGCTCTGAATGAGCATGCCGGCGAGATACCGGCCGTCGGTAGCTGTTGCGCGGTGCCGATGCGGCAGCTGCAGTGCACAAGCGAGCAGAGCTTGGCAACCTTAGTGGCCGCAGGCCACACGCCCGAGGGCGTGAACTAAAGAATTTAAAGGCCATGGTAGGCCGCCTAATCAAATCGCCCGAAGCGCTAGCGCTTGCGCTAGCGCTAGCTCGCACGGCCTCTCACGCTCCGCTGCTGCCCTCTTGGCGGCTCTCTGCTCACCCAGGGTCGAGTACGGCTTCGGTACGTCCACCGGCGTCGATAAGTCGGCGCTTGACCGCCACCTCCACATCGCCGTGGGCCGACGCTCGGTCATTGGCTCTCAAGCGAATATCTGCTGTGGTAGCGCCGGTCGTGGCGATGCTGGCGCGACAGACAGCGACGGCTCGACGAGCGGCGCGTGTGTGCCGACGCCACGTACTGTGCCGGCTCAGCTCACCAACGGCGTCTGCCACGTCGCATTGCTCACGTCGCATTGCCACGTGGCGTTGCTGTGATTCATGAAGCCTTGGGCTCGCACGCAGAGCCCGCGCCGCAGCTGTACGCGACCGGCGCACGCACGATTCTATGTGTTAGGCGCGCGTTCTCTCTCTCGATGTCTGGTCTGGCGTCAGGTGCTGCCGGCTCACAAGAGGCGTGCTGAGTGCTACGGCCGCAACGCCCGAGCGCAGGATGGGTCTCGCTGCGGGCACGCGGTGCGAGTCGCTTGATTCTGCTGTGGGCCGCACGCGCTCTACGCCACGCCCGCGGTACGCCACGCGCATTGGATGTATACGCCCGCAGCGCAGGCAGCATAGCAGTACACAGCTCTGAGACTCGCGCACTGCTCACGATGATGCTAGCGTGCTTCGCACTGGCGCGAGGCGCTACGCGGCAGGAGGCGATATGCGGCGCGAACCGCTGTGCGGCGCGAGCCGCGCGAGCCGCTATGCGGTACCGCACCGCCGTCGGCAGAGTCCAGAGAGCGTGCTGTGACCTGTGTGAGTACATGCAGACGATGAGACGAGTATACTTGTCGGTTGTCCCTGTGTGGTACGTACCCCTGTTACTAGACATAATGCTACGAGTCTTTCCCATTTCATCTTCGGTCTCATGTGACATGTCGAGGAGAGAGCTTAGAGCGGATCTTCGCTTTGTTTTTCTTCTATTTCCCATAAACCGCGCGGTTTCGAACGTATTCCTGTTACTAAAGGCAACCAGTCTTTCCAACTTTCCAGTCTCATCGCGGATAGGAGCGCAGTGTTCCCGAGAATTTTCTTTTAATTCCTGATTTTGCAAAGCTGGTGCTGCGCCGCTCTCGGCTCCGACGCTCGCGTCCGTCAAAATTCGTCCCCCAGAGCGGTACCCTGACACCTTTTTCTTCATTTGATACGCAAACCGGCAACATACCTACGGCTCAGGGACGGACGATATCGTCCGTCCTTGAGGCAAACTTGGAAAATAAAGAAGTCGACGGACTCCCTGGCGGTTTCGCGGGAGTGAGTAGACATACGGTGGAACGCGTCGCGTCGCAGGCTCGCTCGCTGCGGCAGACCGGCACCCGCCGCGTGCCCCTCTCCCAGCCGACTCGCCATCACGCGTTGCCGCAGGTGGTCATGCCTCGCGATCTCGTGCAAGGCTTGCGCTGCGAGCGCTCGGTGAGCAATGTCGTGTCGATCATCGTGCAGCGCAGAGTTGAGCTGGCCGAGGCTGGGATGCCCCACGCAGCATCGCTGCACGGGAAAAGTAACATCGGTGACGTCCTCGACGCTGTGCTGCGCAGCGCCGGCTGGGACTGGTCGAGCGATGGCAAGAGCCTTTGGCGGGTCGCCTTTCCCGCAAGGCGCTTCCACTGGCAGGAGCCAAAGGCGCCGAACTCGCGCCAGCCCGCGGAGCGCCCCAGCGCGCTTGCCACCATCGCCGACGTCAACCTCGAGCACTGCGCGCCGGCCGGCGGGAGGCGCGCTGGCGGCCGGGCGGCGGCTGTCGAGGCCTGCGGAAGCCGGCCACAGACCGCACTCGCGCGCCGTCCGAGTACAATCAGCACGTCTCCGACTACTGCGCGGGGCGACGGGAGGCGCACGTGGCCGCACAGGAGCTGCAGGGCCTTGCAGCACCGAGCGACGCGCCTCCAAAAGCCACGCCGCAGAGAGAGCGCATCTCGGCTGCAGCGCAGGAGTGGCAGGATAAGAAGGCAGCCGAGGCACAGCGCCGGCAGCAGCCGGGGCAGCCGGCACGGCGGCAGCGCCGCCCTGCAGGGCCACCTCAGCCACCTCAGCAGCCACCTCAGCAGCCACCTCAGCAGCCACCTCGCGATCCGCCGCAGGCGGAGCAACTGCAGCAGCCACTTGCGGACGAGGCCGCAGCAGTCAGCTCGCCAGCGAGGCTGGGGAGGAAGCGAGCGGATACAGGGTCGGCGAGTAAGCTCGCGTCGGCTGAGCGCTCACGAAAGGACCGTGGTGGGCCGCGACGCGAGGCGGGAGGGGCAGGACCCCTCATCGTGGTCTCCCCACTTTCACATCGGGACGTCTTCCCCCCCCTCTCGGTCCTTCCTTCTGGTCGCATCCCGATAGTTGTGCGACGGGCGCGGGGCCCGACCTCCTCTCCTGGCCTTTTTCAGCCGCGGCTCCGCCCCCGTCTCGTCTCCTCTGTCCGATTCTGTCGTCATCATCGACGGTGATCCCTTGCCCAACTCCTCGGGCGAGGGCGGCGGCACTGGATCGGCACGCCATTCCTCCCCGAGAAGCGGGGCCAGCTCCCTCCGGTCGAGGACTCGTGCCCGCCCCCGCGGTCTCTCTATCGTCCTCGGCTCGTCCGTACGTCCCGACTAGCACAGGCGTTATTTTTTCTTCGTCTAAATCCGCGGTGCTTGCCGCACCTGCCCGAGGCGAACTACCACCGTGTCGCCGTCGCGAATGTGGTGCTCGGCGCAGGACGTCGCCGCGACCTTCGCCGGCCTGTCACTGTGGCTCGCCGCCGTGCGGGCGAGCGGCCACCTTGCCTCCGCCTCGCTGACGGTGGCGCCCACGCCTGCCTTCGTCCTCACCGCGCTGAGCGTCTCGAGCTCCTACATCGTCTACTCGCTCGTGTGGTTCAACGCCGCCAAATTTGCCGCCGCGTGCCAGCGGGCGCCGCTCGGCCTCCTCGGCGTGGACGCGGTCGGCGTGTTCCAGACGCTCGTCCTCGCCTTCAAGCTCGGCCAGCAGCTCGCCCTGCTGCTGTGGGCGGCGCACGCAGCGGGAGCGGACGCCTCGTCGCCCCACGCGGTGGTTCACGCGCTTGCGACGCTGCTGGTGGGCCTCGGCCCGCCCTCACCGCCACCGCCGCCGCTAGCGTACTCCTCGTCACCATCAGCATAACCGTGTCACCATTCTGAACCCTGACTGGACCTTTCGGACTGCGCTCGCCCCCGCCAGCACCGCCGCCCTCCCCAGCCGTGCTGCCGTCTGGGTGTGACGACTCACTGGCTCGACACCTCCCGCCCTGAACAGGCGAGCTTCTGCGCCGACCCTGGCATGTCTCCCCATATCTCGCCACATCTCCCCATCTCTCCCCATTTCAGGCGAGCTTCTGCGCAGACCCGGGCCGCCTGGCGGTCGCCGCGGCGCGAGACATGTGGTGGGCCGACGGCCTGGCGTATTTCTTTTTCTACCCGCACGCCTCTCCCGTGTCAGGTGCTGATGGGCGCGGGGCAGACGCTGAACGCTGGCATCTACGCGGCAATCGGCAGGCGCGCGCCTCGCTTGTTCGTTGTTGATTGATCGATTGCTGAGTGGTGAACTCATTGAGGCAAGCGGCAGGCGGCGTCTTGCCGTGCCCTTCTTCTACTTCCCACTACTAGCACAACTCATCCACTCCTCTTTGGCCTGCTTTTCTTTGGGGGGACGGGGCTTCGGGCCGCGCGACGCTGCCTCTGCATCCCCGACCCTCTGCCTCCACTGGACACTACCGTAGGAACGGCGTCTTGACACTCTCTTAGGACGGCGTCTTGACACTCTCTTACGGCGGCGTTTTTTCTTTCCTTTTTCTTAGGGACGGCGTCTACTACGGCTTCAAGCTCGGCGCGCCCGTCCCGTGGTGCAGCGGTTTGCCGTCCTAGAAGCGGAGTATCTCCCCGCATCTCCCCGCATCTCCCCGCATCTCCCCGCATCTCCCCGTATCTCCCCGCTTCTCCCCGCTTCTCCCCGCTTCTCCCCGCTTCTGGGAGCCCGTGCCGTAGCGTTCGACCCGAAGAGAAGGCTCACACGACCGTGTCGTTAAGACGGGAGTGGAGAGAGACGAGACAGCTTGGCCGAACCAAGAATGAAGATGTAGTGGGATCTAGAGGTAAAGGAGAGGAGAGGAGAGGAGAGGAGAAGAGAGGAGAGGAGAGGAGAGGAGAGGAGAGGAGAGAAGAGAAGAGAGAGAGAGAGAGAGAGAGAGAGAGAGAGAGAGAGAGAGAGAGAGAGAGAGAGAGAGGAGAGTCAGTGTGTGCGAAAACGCGCCTCCACCCAAGACATCGCCGCGTAGTTGACGCTCCACCACGCCTGCGGGACATGTCTCGGACGTGTCCTGGACGTGTCCTCGACAGGACCAGCATGCTTGACGCTCCACCACGCCAGGAGGGGCAGCAAGCCGGCGCGGCATGTCGCGGGACTCGAGAGGGCGAGGAAGACCTGGGGCGGTAAGGTAAGGTCAGGTAAATTTCTCCACACACACAAGGTGGTGGGGCAAGGGCCAGGCTGCCCCTCGCATCTCCACGCCGCGGTATAGGGTTGGGTCCTCGGGTCAGGCTTCTATGGGTTGGGTTAGGGTCAGGTGGGGGGTCATCGCGTTCGGGGTTCGGTAGGAATCATCATCTTCAGAGTGTCTATTGGGGCGACTCTCGCTCTGCAACTCTGGCGTAGTAGAGTACCGCGTACTGCGAGAGAGTGCCGCCGACGTACTGCGGGTGGCGGAAGCCCAAGTTGAAGGGGAAGCCTGTCAGGGTTAGGGTTAGGGCTAGGGTTAGGGTTAGGGCTAGGGTTGAAGGGGAAGCCTTTACGGTGTGAAGAGCCGAGATGATGCCGCGATGATGCCGCGATGATGAGATATGGGAGATCCGGGGAGATACAGGTTGAAGGGGGAGCCTATACGGTGTGAAGGTACACGGTCTTTCCAAGGAGCAGGGGCTGTGAGCCGGAGAGCAGGGAGTCTCGACGGTCGGCCATTGAGCTTCGTGTGTCCATTGAGGCGACAGTGTGAAGTAAGACCTTCCCTGGGCCTGACTCTCACACCCCCACTGTCGTCGTATGCGAGGCTCTTGGGTGTCTTATCACCCTACTGTGAACCAGAGTCATCGCATTCGCCTTCCGGGGACCCAGCGCTGACTTCTGACTGCCGTTGCTGTCTCGCCCTTCTCGACTGCCTGTGCTTGTGCGTCTTGGGCCCCGGGGTTGTGTTTTTGGCGTGAACCAGAGGGGCTCTCCGTCCTTCTCTCTGTTCTCTCTCCTCTTCCTCTCTCTTCTCTCTCGTCTCTCCTCTCTCTTCTCTCTCCGTCTTAACGACACGGTCGTGTGAGCCTTCTCTTCGGGTCGAACGCTACGGCACGGGCTCCCAGAAGCGGGGAGATGCGGGGAGATGCGGGGAGATGCGGGGAGATACGGGGAGATGCGGGGAGATGCGGGGAGATGCGGGGAGATGCGGGGAGATGCGGGGAGATACTCCGCTTCTAGGACGGCAAACCGCTGCACCACGGGACGGGCGCGCCGAGCTTGAAGCCGTAGTAGACGCCGTCCCTAAGAAAAAAGAAAGAAAAAAACGCCGCCGTAAGAGAGTGTCAAGACGCCGTTCCTACGGTAGTGTCCAGTGGAGGCAGAGGGTCGGGGATGCAGAGGCAGCGTCGCGCGGCCCGAAGCCCCGTCCCCCCAAAGAAAAGCAGGCCAAAGAGGAGTGGATGAGTTGTGCTAGTAGTGGGAAGTAGAAGAAGGGCACGGCAAGACGCCGCCTGCCGCTTGCCTCAATGAGTTCACCACTCAGCAATCGATCAATCAACAACGAACAAGCGAGGCGCGCGCCTGCCGATTGCCGCGTAGATGCCAGCGTTCAGCGTCTGCCCCGCGCCCATCAGCACCTGACACGGGAGAGGCGTGCGGGTAGAAAAAGAAATACGCCAGGCCGTCGGCCCACCACATGTCTCGCGCCGCGGCGACCGCCAGGCGGCCCGGGTCTGCGCAGAAGCTCGCCTGAAATGGGGAGAGATGGGGAGATGTGGCGAGATATGGGGAGACATGCCAGGGTCGGCGCAGAAGCTCGCCTGTTCAGGGCGGGAGGTGTCGAGCCAGTGAGTCGTCACACCCAGACGGCAGCACGGCTGGGGAGGGCGGCGGTGCTGGCGGGGGCGAGCGCAGTCCGAAAGGTCCAGTCAGGGTTCAGAATGGTGACACGGTTATGCTGATGGTGACGAGGAGTACGCTAGCGGCGGCGGTGGCGGTGAGGGCGGGCCGAGGCCCACCAGCAGCGTCGCAAGCGCGTGAACCACCGCGTGGGGCGACGAGGCGTCCGCTCCCGCTGCGTGCGCCGCCCACAGCAGCAGGGCGAGCTGCTGGCCGAGCTTGAAGGCGAGGACGAGCGTCTGGAACACGCCGACCGCGTCCACGCCGAGGAGGCCGAGCGGCGCCCGCTGGCACGCGGCGGCAAATTTGGCGGCGTTGAACCACACGAGCGAGTAGACGATGTAGGAGCTCGAGACGCTCAGCGCGGTGAGGACGAAGGCAGGCGTGGGCGCCACCGTCAGCGAGGCGGAGGCAAGGTGGCCGCTCGCCCGCACGGCGGCGAGCCACAGTGACAGGCCGGCGAAGGTCGCGGCGACGTCCTGCGCCGAGCACCACATTCGCGACGGCGACACGGTGGTAGTTCGCCTCGGGCAGGTGCGGCAAGCACCGCGGATTTAGACGAAGAAAAAATAACGCAATTTTGAGCGAACTGCTAAGAGGACCGCCGCAAGCGGCGTGGCGTGGAGCGGTTGAGCATCCCTCCGGGGCCCCCTCTGCGCCGGGGAGGCGTTGTTGGAGGCTAGGACGCAAGCGTCCGTCGCCCTTTTCAAACTCGGGGCCCACTCCGCTACGGTGTGCCGGCTGGACTCCCCACCGTTGCGCCCTCACCTCACGCTGACATATCCTTTGGGAATGCCCATGGACTCTAGGGACCTGGGGGCAGCTTTGCCCGCGGGTGCCATGCTAGGCTATGGTAGCCATTCTCCCAGATTCTCCGACGAGGTCGGAAAAGTGGCCAAGGCGGCCTCCGCTCAAGGGTCGTTGGGATTTTCTGGTGACTCAGGAAGGAGGGTTCTGCGCCAAAAATAAAAATCGGTTCCGTGCTGTCCGCTCCCGGATACGCCTGGCATAATTTATTAGAAGTCGAGGCTTCCACTTCCGCCCGAGAGAAAAATCCCTCTTGTCTCTCAGCCCACTTGCCCATAGCCGCCGAGACGGCGCGCTCTGCTGACTCTCATCTAGCACCCTCTTGGGGCCTCTCCTGACCGCTGTGGGCCTCTCCAGACCTCCTCTTGCCTATGGGAGTACCCCTCCCGGTCTACTTCCTGGACACAGGCACAGGTTTGCATAATGCGAGCTTTTTCTCAAGGGCTATAGTGCAGAGAAGAAATGCGCATTAACTCGCACAGGGGTGTAGTCGTAGTTTTGGTCCCGGTGCCCTTCACGGCACCACACCGCCGCAAGACAGCCCGAGATTAGCCTAGCAGCGAGTGGGCATCGCCTGCCGGTCAGCTGGGCACGAGCCAAGCACTTGGGCTCCCGTCAACCGAGTCCGAGCGGCGCCTGAGGTGGGTGCCACGGCGTCCGCACGAAGGCGTGGCGGGGTGAGGAGCCAGGGGTGGTGAACACCTCCCCGACGGGCGCGCGGCGCGCCGGATGGTCCGCCGAGGCCGCCGCCGCCCCGGCGGCGGCGATGGGGGCGGCGGGGCCGACCCGGCCGGCGTTTGTCGGCTCCACCTACAGAAGAGCAGTCACTGTGGGTCGACGATACTAACTCGGTAGTAACGCGGAGCGGTGCTGTGCGGCGCCGAGTCGTGCGCGAGGCGACCTCCTGAGGCTACCTGAGCTGGCAATGGATGCCACCAGGACGCACGGCTAGCAGGAGCCACTCAGGCATGCCCTGCTGTGGAGCAGAGCTGGCTGGCGCACCGGCGATACTAACTCAGCGCGCCGCGAGAGGCGAATCTGGGCGACTTTGGAGGCGCAGTTCTCGAGCTTGCCGTCGACGATTGATGTCGGGTAAATTGTCACTGCCGTCGGGGAAGGTCTTCTCTCAGGAGGCCGAGCGCCGTGGCCTGGCTCGGCGCGCCGCGGACGGCACGAATTCGCGCCCACAAAACTCCCGAGACCTCGATACTAACAAAACTCCGATACTGGAGGTATGCGCTATCTAGATATAGTGACGCCTGCAGCATACGATCGGGTGCGAAAGCTCTACTATGAAGACTATGCCTTCATCGACTCGCTTGCTTGCTCGCAGCACATCCGGGGCTTGTGCTGAGAGCTGCGAGCGCGTGATCGGGAAGGCACCGCTCCCGCTTCCCGCCGCTGCAGGTTGAATACCTCGCTACTCACCCCGCAGGAGACGCGTCCGCCCTCGCGCTGCCTGTGCCGCGCGTCGCCTTCCTTCCCTGCCGACCCGGTGCGCGGACGAGCCGTCAGAATAGAGCGGCGCAGCTGTGGGGCGCTCGAGATGGACGAGGTGAGCTGGTGAGATCTGATTTTCGACTGAGTGAGGGAGGGTGTAGAGGATGTAGAGTGTAGAGCGCTGTAGAGCTGTAGAGCTGTAGAGCTGTAGAGCGCTGTAGAGCTGTAGAGCTCTACATCCGCCGCGGGACGAGGTAGCTGACTGCCGAGTCTGAAATTAGCCGATGACCGGGTCTGAAATTGTCTGAAATTAACCGGTCGCCTTTCCAATAAATGCCCCAGGGATGCTTATTCGAGCACTCGTTCATACGACCGGTGCCACATCGACCGATCAGCGCGGGCCGGCGGTCGGTACGGCGTCAGCCGTCTCTACGGCGTACCGCTGTGCCGTCCGCGGCGTGAGAGACGCCGGGCCGCCGCAGCGGCGAGTGTCGGTCACTCAGCTGAGCAGCCGGCGGGTCCCCGGGGTCGCGCACAGCGAGAGCCAGGCTCGCCCGGCGAAGGTGACCAGAGAGTGCTCAACAAATACCAGAAAAAATCAGGGAGTCTCAGGGAGTGCCGCTGCCACCACCCAGGCCGCGGGAGCCGATCGGCTGCGCCGAGGACAGCTCCCGCAGTGTGCTCCGCTCACCAGTGTGCGCCGCGGCGCCGTCCAGCCACTTTGGCGGCCAGCCACCGGTCGAGTTCTTCGACTCTGGAGGACAGGAAGGTACCGTCTGAAAGGTATTTTTTGCTCTATTGACTGGCGACCCCCCCCCCCCCCGCAAAATGTTTTCACAGCGGGCGTGATTCACAGCCTTGTTATAGAAGAAAATACGTCCTATGGCGCTATGCGCTGGTCTGTGAGAGGTTGAGGTGCGAGCCCTGGAGGCCCTGGGGATGGGGGGAGACTACCCGCGGGCCTAGAAGGCCCGCGCGCAGGGGGGTGGGGCATTTTGAGACCGGTCATGAATGAGTGCGCGACACGCATGTTGCGAGCAGCGTTGTTGATGTTCTGCGCGTCGCCACAGACGGCGGCGCGCGAGAGCTGTTGCGAGTGGTGCTGGACGAAGCCCCGGGCGCTGCCGGAGGCTGTGCCGTAGTCGGTGCGGTCGACGGCGCTCGGGCTGCCGACCTCTTTGGCGAAGTTGTGGATGATTCTCTTGGTTGGGCGCCGCCCTGGCTTTCGACGAGACAAATTTTGACGATTCCGTTCTTGACATGGAGCGCGTCGTAGTACTGTCCCTTGTGCTCTTTGACCCAGCCTTTGCCGGTCGCATGGACGAGCGGGCCCTGTGACTTGTGGCCGCGCTCCTCGCACCCAAGAACCTTGAGCAAGGTTTGGTCGAGGGTGCTGCCGAAACCAAATTTGTGGCCCAGTGTCTAGAAGTGACGCACAGCATCCGCCGTGTGCCGCCGAGCCCTGCCCAGCTTGCCTCGTCTTTGTGAGGGCGCAGGCACCTTGACTTCGTAGTGGACATCACGCTGGGACTGCAGGTCCCCGCCGATCTCACACATGTCGGTGACGTGCCCCTCGTTGAGATGAAAAGTCGTCTGAGGGTTCGCCTTGTCACCGAGCACGAGTTCACACCGAAGCATGAGTGAAGCATAGGGTAGCAAGAGGGTTGTACTGCCCTGCCCGCACACCCGGGGGCCACTTCTGCCGATCCCGATCCCCTACCCGCCCCGGGTGTGAATAACTGCCCGCTCGCGAGGTCTGGAAACTTAGGGTACACGCATATCAGGGCTTGGCGAGAAAAAAAACAAAAAAGAAAAAGGTCTCGGGTGTTTCTGAGATCAGCGTGTTAGTGCCAGTGCGCGCCAGTCCCGTGCCTGGCCTGTGTCGTGCGAGGGAGTTTGTTGGAGTGTGTTGTAAAATTCTGAGATCAGCTTAGGTGAGTGGCAGACAAATTCAAAAAATGGGCGCCGCAGGCGCCCCGGCGCTGCGTGCCCACCATATGGTTGAAAGATCCCTCCCTTGGTTGCAAGAACACAACGCACTCTCTCACATGACAAACAAGCTCCCACGACAGCGAAATCCCCCCACGCACTAGCACTGACTCGATTTGAGCGCTGTGGGTGTGTAACGTCTGGAATCACTGACATTCCAGCTTGGGAAGCCTCATCAAACAGAGTCATATTAAATTCCTTACTATATTCCAGGGAATGTTCCAGAGAATGGGCAAACCTCGCCGGAGGGACCGTCTATATTCGAAAAGAAATTCCAGAAAGTTACAACCAAAGCCTCTCTCGCACACGCACGATTTACACGACAAGCAAGGCGCAGCCAGCCGACGGCTTCCTTAAAAGCCGTCATCCTCGCCATAGGGATCCCTTATAGGGATCCCTCGCGCGAATCTCCCTCTTAACCCACACTTAACATCTATATAAGGGATCCCTAGAGGAAGTCGTCCCGAAATTCTAGAATAACATGCACAGGCCAACCTCGGGCGCGGAAAGCAAAAAAGCCGTACTCCAAGTGCTCCGTCAACTACACTTATCTTCTGGTGCTCAGTGCCGTGCGGCGGCGGTCCGGCAGGCTGCCCCCCAAAAGGCCCGCTGGGCCGCTGCGGTGGTTTGGGATTTAAAGTGAGTCATCTCGCTTAGGCCGACAGAGCTTCGGCGCGATGGCAGCCGCCCCTCTCTGGGGTGTTGCATACTTAGGCGGGGAGTCTGATGTCTGTCTCCTAGAGCTGCCTAACGTTAAGAGCTGATCAGTGTTTGTTGCTATATAGAATATAGTGTTAACAGCAACAACAGAAACAACAATGGGATCCGCCACCAACAGTAGTTAACGTTAGGGTAGGCCGGCTGGACAACAAAAGGAGGGCCTGCGTCTGGCAGTTAACCCACGACGATCTCCTAGTGTCCAGTGCCTGCAAATAAAACCGTCCGCCGGGAGCGGGTTATCGTTTCGGGTTTTACCCGGGGGCGCCGGGGGGCGGGGGCTTGACATTTTCTGCTTGCTGACCGCTGAACAACAGTGACAACAGTAACAAACAGTAACAGCATGGCCCATGGCATGGGCTGGGGTGAACAGTTGAACAACGTTGAGAGACGTTGAGAGAGGATTTCAGGCCCAAGCACAACGAAATTTGTTGAAGTTGTAAAAAGTTTAGAGGAGGCCGTACCTCCGCTTGAGCTCTGCCTTGTCGGCCGAGCTCCACCGCGTCGCCGGCACGCCGAGCTCCGCCGCGATGAGCGCCTACGCAAGGCGAGAGACAAGCACGTGAGTGACGTTTGGGTCCACCGCCCTGCGCCGCCGAGCGCCGCTGCGGTGAGCGCGCCGCCGTGCGCGCCGCCGTCTCCTCTGCCGCCTCGGCCGGCGCGGGCGCCACCGCAGGAAGTAGTGTCACCTCGGCGACGTGCCACGGCTGGAAGAGGGCGCGCGCAAAGTTTCGAGGCAGCGAAGAGGTGAGCGTGTCGTGCGCGAGAGGCAGCGGGCACGTCACGCGCAGCGCAACAGGCTGCACCTCCTCTCCGAGGCGAAAAGCGCCTCTCGCGAAGCGCATCAGCCCCGCCCCGTTGGTGATGGATCCCTCGGGGAAGATGAGTAGCGGTTCGTGCGGCTCGCCCTCCCGGCGCAGGTGGCGGCGGAGCGCCCCCTCGACGGCGGCGCGGCCCTCCCGCTCCCTCCGGGCACCGGGAGCCGACGGCACGCGTGCGGCACGACCAAAGGGCTCGGTGGAGCCGCTCGCGTGGCTGGCGGGCGGCGGTGTCTGTTGCGGCGCTGTAGACGGAGGAGGAGGAGGAGGAGGAGGAGGAGGAGGAGGAGGAGGAGGAGGAGGCCGTGGAGTCGGCACCCAGATTGGCGACACCACCATGCGAGTGAGGTGAAGCAGGAGCCACCCGCTCTTGGCGTACGTCTCTCGTACGGGAACTGCGAGGCTGCCGCCGCACCACACGCGGAGGAATAGGCTGTCGAACTGCGTCACGTGGTTGCCGACCACGACGCGGGCGTGTCGCAGCCTCTCTGCTACTCGCGGCGACGCAGCAGCGCCGCCAGGCGTCTGCAGGCGGATGCGGACGCCTCCGATGAGAGTCATCGCTCGGACGGCTGCGGATTCCAAAATTGCGCGTGTTGCTGGTGGCAGGAACGGAGCCACTGCGAGATGGGTCACAGCGACGAGCAGGCAAAGGAGCAGCCGCACTACCGCGACTACGAAGCCGAGCGGCGCATACACGACCAGGGCGGCGTAGCGCGCGCGCGTGGACGGCAGGAGCGCGCTGAAGGAGCAGAGGTCCTCCAAGTGTGTTGTGGTTGGCCTTGGTGGTACAATAGTCAGAGGCTGCGCAGGCCGTCTCGTTTGCATGTTTGAAGAAAAACTGTTTCGCAACAACAACATGTACATGTACATGTGCCACACACGGCGGCTCCGGCCGCGGCACCTCTCGATGGGTTCCACTTTCTACGCACACCCACACGCACAGGCGACAGGGGCCGAGGGGGGTCTCACGTAGATCACTTACCCTCTCACGAGACACAAGCCCTACTCGCTTAGTGTGGGTAAACCATAGGACCGTATTCGGTACTATGAACAGAAGAAGCCCATAAAAGTCGCAGCGGCAGTCCACGACGAGCCAGCCTGCTGCCGGCTCGCACGGCAGCCTCTTCCTCTCGACCAGCCTCAACTTCCGTACAGTCAACATTTTGTCGCTGCGTGCTCGTGGCGAGCTGTGGCGGCGGTCGAAGTTGGCCCAGATTCGACGACGAGCGCCGGACGATAGTACCGCCTCTGTTCGCCCTGTGCATGTCAGGCCAGGCTGCAGCAGGGCACTACCACCGTGCTGCCCTGTTGCAGCCTGACTTTGCCCACTGTGCACAGCCGCCAGAGCACCACCACCGCCCGGCATCGTGTCACGGCGAGCTCCTTCTGCGCCCGCTCGCGAGGCTCTCGCGCTGGCACACTTTGGACATCTTCTGCTCGCGTTCGGCGAGCTCTTCTCCGCAATCCTGCCACGGTGCCGCCACCACACACCTTCGGGCCGGCCTGAGCCGCGCGGACTCGCCGGCGGGGGCAACGTATCGACCTCTCTCTCTGGTGCACCACGGGCCGCGACGGCCTGCGAGCAGCTGGCGCGAGGAGGCAGTGTGCCGGCACAGTCGAGCCGGAGCATCGGGTTCTTGATGCTTGTGGGGTCAAGTTTGACCTTATGTGGTATAATATGCAACAATAATGCTATGCTCTCACCCAGCCTTTTGAGATATGATCCCTCAAAGTCGAATTTTCGTTTACTGGTGACCATAGTACCGTTTGTCTTGTTTGCGTTTCTTCAAACGAATCCTTTCGAGTCTCGACAATCACCAAGCTGCTTATGTGGCACCGCAGAGGCTCCCTTGGGGATGCCTGAGGCCACCCCAACCACTCACCAAGCCTTACGTGGACGAATTGAAGGCTCCGGCTCAGGTCAGAGGGCCCAGCGACTCGTCGGTTGGGTGTAAACGGGCATTGCCTGTGGTCTTCAACGCACAAAGGGTGTGAATAGAGCTCTCTTGATCCTTCTGAGCACGAAGACCACTCGAACTCTTCTGCAGACTCTAGTGTTTCCGGTTTTCATAACCTGTGAAATAGTTTTTGCGCCCGCCGCAGCCCGCCCTATTTCGCGCCAGGGCCACGAGAGCCCTGGAAGAGCCCAGCTGGCATGTTCTATCGCCCGGGTGTCGGGCTGTCTACATACAGACGTCTCGTCGCCGTGGCCGACGCATGGCTGGTCCGACGTGTGGAGGAGTTTGACCTCAGCCAGGCCGTCGGTGTCGGCGGGCTGACGGCGGCCGCCGGAATCGCGATTCGCTCTGCCAGCTGCCAGCAGCCTCGTGTCGCCGCTCTCGTTGGCGCAGCAGCAGCGATTGGCCTTTGCGCCGTCGCTCGGCGGCGTCACCGCCCATCCGACCCGCGCAGCTCCTGCAGCTCCTGCAGCTCCTGCTGTCAGTCTTCTGCTCTCACGCACCTCACTCGCCGCGCGCGGATTGTGCGCCGCGCCAAGCAGGACACGTGCTCATGCAAACAATGCGAGAACTTGGTTGCGCCGCTTAGTGGCGGCGCTGCTTTAGAGAGAGAGAGGAAGCGGCAGCGTGGGAAGCAAAGCAGATGGAGGCGGCGCGGCATGCCAAGGAGCTGCTGCTGGCGGAGGTTGAGCGGCTAAGTGCAGCAAGGGCCCAAGGGCAAGAAGGGCAAGAAGAAGAAGAAGAATGTTGGCGTGGGCGATACGGGCGCCGCTAGGCTCAACAAGGAGGTGCTGTGCAGTTAGAGAGCTCGTAGCGAGCTCGATTTTGATGAGAATTTGATGAGAAATATCTCAATTTTGAGCCAAAAACGCCAAAAAAAATCGGCGCCTGCGGCGGGCCACGGGACCGCTCCGGGACGCACGCCGGCGAAGCACCATCAAGCTGTTGTACGGCCCCGGCATCGCCTCCCCTGGCTTAGCTAGAGTGAGAGATACTGTGCATACGGTCTCTCTCTACAATATACTCACTGACACTCCACCTCCCAGAGCTCGTCCCGGTCCGCCACGGCCATCCTTGGCCTCCGGAGGGCCCCCGGCCGCGGCGCGGTGCGGCGGCGTCACAAATCCGACCACAGAGCACCGGGACGCGGTTGGGCGAGGCTGAGGTCCAACTAGGCGTATGCATTGCCCATCTAGGGCTATCACCTGGACCCATCAACAGGCGCCTGCGGCGCCGTGGTCACGAGGTGTTGTTCACACCTGCCCAAGCATTCATGCAGCACAGTAGCCCTGTGTGAGCTTCTCGAGCTCTCAGCCACTCGGACGAGGAGTGAGATTAGGTTGGGAGAGAGGGCGCTTGGTGTCTCTAGTATTTTGAGAGACTAATTTATTCACAGCTCGTGCGGTGTGGCCCTCCAGCCAACCCGACAGACCCCCCCTCGGTCTGCGCTCCGACCCCGCCCCCCCCTCCGGTCTGCGCAGGTAGGGTTGTCAAACGTTAACCCCTAAACGGCGTTCCTTGCCGTACGGCAAGGAAAGCTCCGTTATTTTATTCCTTTGCAGGTGCGACCGATCCAGCAGTCGTCTGCGACATGGCAGTGGCCCCGGGTCATGTGCAGCTGGTCCCGAGCGGCTCAGGTCCCAGATCGAATCTCGGACCCACAGATTCTAGATTCCTTTAGATTCCCTGGATTCCCGCAACAACGATCTCTTAGCGGCGGCAAACAGAGGCGCAACTCTGCCAGCAGCGAGGAGGCTCCTGCTGCTCAGCTACCGAGGCCTGGTGGCGTCGGCTGCTGCGTGGAGAAGACAGCAGCACTGTCCGACCTCAAAACATGCACAACAAGCGGGATTTGTGACTCTGTCTTCCATTCTTCAGTCGCTCTGCCGGACGCGCTCGCTTTGTCGCGAGGGTCACCTGTGCAAGCCGTGTGGACGCCCAGAATAGCCTCCCCTGGCTTAGCTAGAGTGAGAGATATTGTGCACATGGTCAGCCTCTACAATATATACGCTGACACTTTACCTCCCAGAGCTCGTCTCGGTCCGCCACGGCCATCCTCAAGCCTCCGGAGGGCCCCTGGCCGCGGCGCGGTGCGGCGGCGTCACAAATCCGACGTCAGTTCACCGGGACGCGATCGGGCGATCTGAAGTCCAACTAGGCGTATGGATTGCCCGCCCAGGGCTATCACCTGGACCCCTCAATGGACGCCTGCGGTGCCGCCCCCACGAGGTGTTGTTCACACCTGTCCCCATTCGTGCAGCAGGAACGCGCTGTGTGTGGCTGGCAGCAAACTCAAATGACGACGGGTTGCAGCCTCGTAGCTCAACGGCAACATTGTGCATATGAGGAAGGCTGATAGAAGTAGCACCAGCCACACAACCAACAGCTTCTGGAGATTATGCGGAGCGCAAGCAGCCGGTGATCAAAGGCGTGTGTTGCTGTCGGTGGCAGATTGCCAGAGGGACGCCGGCGCTTCGGTGCGTGGCTTCGTCACAATTTTCCACCGCTCAACTTGGATGCAGTGTGTCTAGTAGCGTGCTACACCTATGACGGCGGACCTCACTGGGGCGCCGACGTGCGACGACCGTCTGGGATCGAAAGACGAAACCGCGTCCCAGGAGCTCGTGCAGAGCGCGCTCCGGTGTCCGGAGCTCTGTGGCGGAAAATTTAAAGGGAACGCAGAGTAACGGATTTTGGCCCATGCGCGTGCTCTTCCTCTTGCTCGCCGCGCGCTCGGGAGCCGGAGTGGCGGGGTCGGAGCTGCTGCAACGGTGCGAGTGGCCGCGAGGGGTGGTGCTGGGGCTCTCCAGAGAACGAGGCCACGGCGCGGCGCTCGCGGCGGCGGACGGGGCAGCTCCAATTGTTGGCGAGGCTCAACAGCAGCTTCAAGCAGTGCAGTGCAACGCCAGCTACCTCTCCAGAGCTGCGCGGCGGCTGGCGGGCCTGTGGGAAGATGCCGGGCCGCGTGCTCGGAGCGCGCAGTCGGCCCGCGCCTGCCAGCGGCCGAGTCAGTCTGGCTGGCGATAAGCGCCAAGGCCTTCCCTTCATTCTGGGCGACGCCCAACTGTGCGCAATGCGATTGCTGCGCCGGTGGGGGCCCTCAATGGGGAGCCCCCCCCGCGGGGGGGGAGGCTTCAGGGGCGGGGTTTTTATTAAACGCCGGGGGGCGGGGGCACCGGGGGCGTTCCCCCCTTTGGCCGCTTCCCCTACGGACCCCCCTTGGCCCCCCGGGCCCCCGCCACTTCCACCGCCTCTTTGGCGGTTCCCCCTCCTACCTCGGTGGTTCCCCCCCCCCCCCCCGCCGTTTCCCTAATCCTCTCTCTCGCCGCCCCTACTACCGCCGCCTCCCTTTCCGCTCCCCTCCCCCCCCCCCCCCACGCCCCACGGCCGCGGAAGCTGCTCGCCGCGGAAGCTGCTCGACAGGCGTCTGCAACTTCCAAGCTGCGTATTCTTCTTGTATTATCGTCGAGTAGTGCAGGCGTCTCGCAGCTGCGTATTCTTGTATTCTCGTCGAGTAGTGTAGGTACTGCGTGGGGGCGGTACGTATTCCCGTATCACGTATCACTAGCTCCGAGTAGAGGGGGCGTCCTTGCAGTTAAGGGGAAACCTGGTACGCGGGTCCAACCCTCGGAGAGTATTCTTTAGCTCCGAGTAGAGGGGGTGCGGTCTGCTGCTAGGGGGGCCCAAGGAAGCGCGAGGGAAAAATTCCGCCGCTGAGGGAAACCCGGAGCGCTGCCGTACGCCCTCGGAGACCCGTGTTATGGCCCTGCGACCGCGCACCCCCCCACGGTCGAGGAAGAGGGTGCGTTCTGCAGTTAAGGGGTAACCCGGTACACGGAACCATCCCTCGGAGACGTGTTATGGCCCTGCGACCGCGCACCCCCGGGGCTAGGGCTCTCTTGCCCGAGGGCTAGAGCGCGCCGGCGGGCGCGGGTAACCCGATCCCGATCATCCGGCCAACTGGGTGCGCTCCTCAGCTCCCCGGTCCTGGATGTGAGGCTGATGACCGCACTCCAAGTGCTCCAAGTGGTGGCTTCCCACCGCCTCTGTATGTGCCCAATAAAGTGCTAACACGACCCTCGGGCAGCAGGGGGTATGTGGCGAGCGCACGGAGGCACAGTTAGGCCGCCGTTATATCGCCCTTCCGGGCACCCCGTTTCGGTAGCCGTTTAGGGGTTAAGAGCTGAACAGTGTTGCGGCTAGTGTTAACAGTAACAACAGAACAACAGTGGGGCTCCCCAACAACAGTAGCTAACGTTAGGCCGACTGAACAACAATAAGGAAGGCCCGGCAGTGACCCACGATGATCTCTAGTGTCCAGTGCGGGTAAGACCCGAAAATACCCGGAAAATCCCTAGGTATTTTCGGGTTTTACCCGGGTTTTTTGCCATTTTCTGCTTGCTGGCCGCTGAACAACAGAACAACAGTAACAAACAGTAACAGCATGGGCTGGGATGAACACTTGAACAACGTTGAGGATTTCAGCCAACAATAGCGCAACTGTTAGGCCCCAAATTAACGTTTGACAACCCTAGGGTCTGCGGTCTTCCCCGCGCGCCCGCGGCGGCCGACCGGACGCCCCCTGCGGTCGGTCGGTCTGCGCTGGGCTCTCAAACCGCGAACTCTCGGCACACCCCACACACAGGGGTTTTGTAAATCCTTTATTTGGTCGCGGTCCTTCATCTTTTGACACACAGTCAACGCGCCCTTGTCCGGGTGATGATTCAGCGAATTCTGATGCATGTGCTGTGCGTCAGTGCGACATCGCTCGCCCACGCGCTAGTCGGCACTCGGGTGCTCCATCGCGCCGTGTCGCGCCACGCCGCGCGCCGCCTTGTCCCAATCCCGCGCCATGCGGAAGCGCACCAGTTGCTCGGGCGTGGCCGGCTTGCCCGCGTTGGGAGCGTCGGCGTCGGCGACGCGCCGCCAGAGCTCCTTGCCTACGTCATGCGCGCACCCAAGGTCGTGCAGTGTACTCGGAGCATGGCGTGAGCACACGGGCTGCGAGCACAGCCCGACACAGTGGAAAGGCAGCTACGCACAGCTGCATACGTGTTGTCTCGAGTGCCAGGTCGGAGCTTCGGGGGCTAGCTCTGTACAAGTGCGCTGCTGACCGTGGTAGACAGGCGCGCCGAAGACCTTGGCGGCCTGCAGCTCGGTGTAGGGGCGCGCGTTGAAGGAGGGCGGAAGTGGAAGGAAGCGCACGTCCGTCCGTGCGAGGGCCAGCGTCGCCGCGCCCTGCTCGCCTGCGCGCCGCGGCAGGACCGGCGTGAGCAGGCGCGGAGTACGGCGGCAGACTTGCGCCTATGCGGCGGCTACAGCGCGATCGTGCGGCCAAATCTCGGCCAGATCTCGGCCATCTCTCCGCTAGATATCCGCCAGATCCGGGCCAGATCTCGGCCAGATCTCGGCCAGATCTCGGCCAGATCTCGGCCAGATCTCGGCCATCTCTCCGCCAGATCTCGACCAGATCTCGGCCAGATCTCGGCCAGATCTTGACCAGATCTCGGCTAGATCTCGGAGCGCAGCTCGCCCGAAGAACGCAGGCGCCAGTAGGCGCCCCCCTTCTCGAGGTACACCTTGCGCCGAGAGACCGCCGAGATCACCCGAGAGTAGCCCCCCCCCCCCCTCTCGAGGTCTCACGCGGGAGACAGCCGCAGTCGAGTCGTCTTATGTGCGCTTGCTGCGGGAAAGGGGGGATGCATCTGCGTGTGTGCGTCTGCCGTGCATGAACCACCTTGCGCGTCTCCTCCCAGAAGGCGGCCACCCGCTCGTTGCGGCGGTACGCCATCACGCCCGTCTGCATCTCCCACCTGATACAAAAGCGCAGCTTATGCTTGGAGCTCCTCATGCCCGCAATCACCCTGGGGCACCTCTTGTTTAGGAGCAAGGGGCGCGGCAGAGAGAGGTCAGGGCCGCGGGCTGGAGCATTGCTGCGGCAGCGCTCACCCACGCAAGTGCCCCGACGGGTCGTACGGCTTCCCCGAAGAGTAGAGGACGCGGCAGCACTCGAAGGCGGCGGCGAGGTCGTAGTCGTCCAGCAGGGTGAAGAGCTGCGAGACGGCGGGAGAGCGGACGAGTGTGTCTCCGTCGAGGAAGACCTACCCCCACTCTCCCAGGTGTGGCACTGTGATCAGGACGGTGATCGCTTGCAGCGCTCGGGCTGGCCGTCTTCGCAAACGGCGACTGGTCGTACGCGCGCAGCTTCTTGACGCGCGGGTCGTCGTCGATCGCCTCGCCGCCGCTCACCGAGAGTGCGGCGACGTAGTCCACGCCTGGTCAGGAGCAATCTCGGCCCGATCTCGGCTCGACCTCGGACCGATCTCGCCCACAATCTCGGCCAGATCGCGACTAGCCGGCTGCCCAGCCGCGAGCGGAGCCAAACGGCGGGAATGCCGCCGTCGCTCAGCACAGCTATCGGCCTGCGCGGCGGCGGCAGCGCGCGGATCGACGCCACCGACGTGGCCATCTCGAGGACGTGGTTGCAGCCGTAGTCGCGAACGGCACACCCGCCGTGCAGCACGTACAGGAACCCCTCCGGCGGAACCTGTGGGAAGGGGCCGGGCACGGGCAGGGTCCGAGAACTGTCCGCTCCTCGGCTGCCGTGCAAGACGCCCTCTGGCCTGTGGCGGCGGCCTTGCCTCCGCCTCCGCCTGCCGCAGCAGAGAATGAAGACTCGTGACTACACAGACGATGGCCGTCAACGTGGCCTCGCCTCCGCCACCACCTGTTCACGGCGAGTCCGAGTCACAACTCATCGCAGACCACGCCCCCGACCTCGCCTCCGGCTGGCGCCTGCTCGACTGCCCGCAGCCGCGGCCCGCAGACCCAAGCGTTGGTGGAGGCGCCTCGGCTCGCGCCTCCACCTCGCAGCTCGAACGGGTGGGACGCCTGAGGGAAGGTCGGGACAGGGGAGCTGCTCCGCGCGCACGAGAAAGTGGGGCAAGGGCCCTGTGCGTGTGCGTGTGCGTGTGCGTGTGCGTGTGCGTGTGCGTGTGCGCGTGCGTGCGTGCGTGCGTGCGTGCGTGCGTGCGTGCGTGCGTGCGTGCGTGCGTGCGTGCGTGCGTGCGTGCGTGCGTGCGTGCGTGCGTGCGCGTGCGTGCGTGCGTGTGTGTGTGTGTGTGTGGGTGCGTGTGTGTGTGTGTGTGTGTGCGTGCATGTGTGTGTGCGCGCGCGTGCGTGTGTGCGTGCGTGCGTGTGTTGTGTGTGTGTGTGTGTGCGTGTGAGTGAGTGAGTGACTCGCCTGCCGCCCACCGCACGCCAGACCGTTGTCCCGCACGACGCCGACACACAGAGGCTCAGCGATGCATCCCTAGCGAACAGACCGGACGTGGCGTGGACGTGTGTGCTGAGGTGAGAGTGGCGTGTGTCGCGACACGGCGGGGCGGCTGGCGTGTGCCGAGGAGAGAGCGGGAGAAGGCGTCTCTCGGAGGCTCGCACCGCCCACGCAGCATTGAGCTGCTTGTACCGATATGCACAGCGGCCGTCGTGGCGGTGAAAGTCAGCGTTGGCCGGGCTCGGCAGCAACCTCAGCAGGTCCGTGCTCGGACGCTTCTCACGAACGCACTCGTCTCGCTGGCTGGACGCAACTCCTGCTGCCCGTCTCTGCAAGAGCCGCCGGCGAATAGTGTGCCGTGTGCGATTCGCCGCGTCGGCGGGATACTGCGACGCGGCAGTGCCGGCAATGATGAGGAAAACGCAGGACGCAACTGCCACCGCGACGATGTTTGTGCATCGGCAGGACATGTGCCGGCCTGTGCTGGCTCCACAAGTGCTCCAAGTGGGTGAGCTTGAGGCTTGAGCACTTGAGGAGGGCGCTTGGGGCTAAGCAAGTGCGGTGTGAACATAGGAGGTATTTTCTTCTCAATAACAAGGCTGTGAAATACACATTGCGCGCCGCTCTGCGAGCGCTTCTGCGCCTGCACTGCATGTCTCTGTTGCTGCTGGTGGTGGTGGTGGTGCTGCTGCTGATGCAGATGCTGCTGCTGGCGCGGCGCGGCTCTCTCTGCGACTGGGCTCGACGAGCG